GTTGTGAATACAGTGTTAATAATAACTACTATATTTGCCCTTTTCGACCAAACCAACAATTGTGAGTTTTAGCTTTTATTTTTGTTCTCTTTAAGCTCAATTAAAAAGTACTTTTGCCTTCCAGGAGGCATTTTTACAATTTATTTGAAGTGCTGGATGAATTAAAGAAAATCCTATGCCTTAAAATTTTAGATGAACTGATAGATTTTCCATAACGGTATTACTTTAAAAGACTCTTTTTCTTCCCCCTGCTTCCAGGTCTCACTGGCACAGCAATTTAGCCTTGCCTCAGAATTGTTACATTATGGGCAAATGGTCTGGTTGTGACACAGGATCGTTTTCAGAAAAGCAGCAGACAGTGTCTAGAGGCGGGAAAAAAGGTCTTTATTGAGAAGGTCAAAAGGGACATAAAGGCAAAAACTGACTTTCACCGAAACAGAACTGGAGACCAGGCCTCCAGTGTCCTTTTTGTAATGCATTGCTTGTTTTCAGGTCCCGTGATAGAATTCTTCCATAACAGACAGAGGACTTTGTTAAATTGTAAATGAGTATTACTTCAAGCACTCTGTGGAAATATATTCTCCCCCTATAGCCCATACATTATTTCTGCTTATAGTGGCTCACATTTCCCGTAACTATCAGAGAGAACTTAATTCAACTCACACCACATCACTTTACAATTGTGCAGGTCTCTTAATCAACCTTTGTATCAGCCACGAATGTGCAGTATGACCTAATTTGAAAATGTCTCAAAGTGCTGACTCAAACTGTTAGTGAATAAAGGCTAGTCATTACCATTATGACACTAATGTGATGCAAAATAAAATTGAGTTGCATCAGCTGGACATTAGTTTGCAAAAATATTAGTGATTGAATCCATTTTCTGTTCATATTTTATTTATACATATGTATGTATATATATGCATATGCATATATTTATTTTTTGTTTGTTTGAAACAGGCTTGTGGCAAAATTATTGAGGGCAGAGGAAGGAAGCCACATTTTAACACTAGAAAAAGACACTGTGTTAAAGGCTGATCATATGTATATCATGATCTCCTTTCTATAAGATGAAGACATGTTGCTGTTGAAATCTTATTAGGATATTCATATGCACATAAGCAATAACATATGAAAATTATCATCTTGTTCTGTACTCTGGTGCTAGATTCCATGGTTTCTAACTGCCCTGGCACTTCTTACTACTTCGTATTACTCAAAAATTCTGACTTTGTATTCACAAATAACAAAAATTTGAGATTTATTTCTTTCATGGGCCTTCTTTCCTTCTTCTTTACTTGACAAAAAAATTACTTTGAGATAGAAATACCTTTAATAAACACTGTCATTAATTACTTGTGAACGAAAGAAAGTGAGATATAAAACTAGACATTATTTAGCCTCATCCCTACTGATAATGCTTTGTGGAAAGCAACATCAATGATCTTTTTCTTACACAATTCGGAGGGTTTTGAGGAAAAACTCATGGGTTTATTTAATACCTATGCATCCCAAAGCTAGCATTGGTTTCAAATTCTAAGCTGATAAGTAGTCATTGAAAATAAATCAACAGGAAACTTTCTTAATTTAGAGAACTTTTCCTAATGGTAAATGAGGAACTCCACCCTGCGTCTCATTTTGGGCCTCTGGAATTCTGAAAATCCTGAACGTAAAACTGATGTATTAGTGATAAAATACTTCTGATTTTATTTCTTTAATGGTTCTAACAAACCTAGCACACAAATACAAAGGAGATATGTTGTCCTTTAAAATTGTCAAGGACAAGACATTTTGGCTATCAGGAAATTATTTAACCTGCTTACAATTGAGAGAATATATGTCTTCATAATAAAGCACCATAAGTGATCAGTAGAGAATACAGCTAAATTAAAATGCTGGCAAGCTCTGTTCATTCATTTTTTAGAAAAACGAGTAAAACCTTCCAGCAAGATGTGTAGAAATTTTCTACTATGTGATGACTTTCATATTTGAGTCCATTTTACATTGTGTAATATGTGACTTGGGCTGTTTTTATGACCTGTGCTTTATTACCACATTAAGACAATCCACATTTCAAAAAAGAAAAAGTTTGAATAATTTCAAAGTGAACTTGCCAAAACCAGCATTCAGAAGCACGGGTGCTCACGCTCGCAAACACAGGCACACTTTCAACTTACCTAAAAACGGGGATCGCCCTTTGTAGCTAAAATACAATCTTTCTTATTTTTAGGTTACCGTGAGAAAAGGTATGTGGGTGTGATTCCTGCAAATGGATTGCCAGTTTCTTAACAGTTCATCATTCTTAAATGATAGAAGTATAGCAGCGCCCTTCTGAAAAACATCTTTTCTGTAGATTTTACTTTGTCCACGCCAGGACAAATTGTGTGCTAAATTGAATAATTCTGAGATGTGAGACACCTCCATAACTGTCCTTGGACTACCAAGGAGCTGGCATTTCTCTTTGGAAGATGAGGGGAGAATGCTCCATGCCCTCTTAATTGATGATTTACTGTGCTTTCCCTTGGGACCACATCCGATGATCTGTAAGCTTGTTGAATTTTGAGGCAGATACTAAATATAATCAATATATGAAAATATAAAAAAAGGAGAGAAAAAAATGCAATGAAAATTTATGACCTTAACATTCCTTCAGGGTCAAGCAATTTATCAAATTCTCTCACTTTCTGGTTTCAATTACACAGCCATTGTGGAAGGAACTTATTTTAGCAGGTTCATTTGCCTCAGTGGGGAATACAGGACTTTGGCCTAATGCTTCACCTTTAGTGCAGGCCATTTGAGCCTTAGAACAAATACCAATCATCACTCTTTGGGAAAAAAGAATCTGCATCGGCGTGGCCTATTGGAATGGGGTTTCTGTCAAGGTAAACGGTTGTCGGCAATGACTGTGGTAGAGTGGCGATAAATCCCATTTTATTGCTGAAAAATTCCAGCTTCTCTCCATGCCTGACAGCTCCCCACATTCTCATACCCATTTGGGCAATTTCTGCACTATGTCCATCTGGTTCTCATTACCTCTCAACCTGCCTGCGTCTGATCCAGAAAAAGAGCAGGTCAGAAATGGGGCTGGGGGGGTAAGAAACCAAGGTGATGAACAAAACAGAAAGCCGGGGGGTGGCCCATGGGGTTCGGGGAAGAGTTGAGGTTGGGCAGAGTGGGGATTCCAGCTAAGACTCTGAGTGGTTTTGAGAAGGGGCCATATCAATTATTAAAAATGATCATGACAGAGTTGGAGCCAGAAGCTGGAGAAACCTGTATCTTTAGACTCAGGTATTAAAAAGACACCTGTTTTAAGGTGAAAGAGAGAGGAGAGAGAGAGAGAGAATGTGGTAGGTAGAGGAGGGTGGGAAGGCATCTCTATTAAGAGCGCTGCCGGCTGGTTATCAGAGAAGAGGACCTGTTGTAGAAAAGCACAGAGCCCTGTGTACACAGTTGGCAGGCTTCTAAATATGCGGGCGGATCAAACTCTGCTAGAGATTCGATTTTGGTTCAAAAACATACGTTTTTGAGGACAAAGAAAACTCTTGGCTCTCCAACCTTATTGTCTCCATCTCTCTCGAAGAATAATATTTAAAAACTAACTTGTCTTAATTAGGGCATTTAGAATGACGGGACTAGCACTGAGTCACTTGGGAATTCATAACCCGACATATAATCACTTTTGGAATGGAGTGCATTTATGCCTTCAAAAAGTTGGCCTCATTTTCTGAAGCTGAAATCCTTTTGATCATAATTACTTCTGACCTAAAATTACCCACAGTCACCATACAATGCCACGCTGGGACAAAAAAGAAATACACATTGTAAGTATCTGATAACAGATATAAACTATCGGCCAACTTAAATAGTACCATAATTTAGACTACGATGAAACTATACAACTATATGTTTCTGAATATAACATTTACTCATTATTATTATTATTTAGGTGCAGTGGGTGGGGCCATTGTCATAAATACTAAAATAAGAGTGGTTAAAGTGTATTGAAGTATAAATGATAAAGATCTGATAACTTTCCATACAAATTAGAATCAGATGAATGCATGGATGTAGTTATTTCACCACCTGTTTTGAAGTCAAATTTTGTATGTAAATGTCTTAAAACCAGGTATGATTGTGTATTCTGAAATATGTTGGAGAGCTGCGGCATTGTTATGATTTGTAGACAGAATCTCTCATGTTAGGTATGTTTGGATGGACATATTGAATGGTCTCTTAGTACCTTCTGGATCCCAGGGGTCCAGAATGTATTTCAGGTCCTCAAAATGGACATTTTTGACAGTCAGAACCCCCAGTACTGCATTGAATGTCTGGTTTTTATTGGTTGAATTCCAATATCGAAATTACGTTAAATTTTAGTTGCTGAGCCAGACCCTTTAGACAAGAAATACTGTCTTCCAGTAATTGGGATTTAATTTCTAAATCTTCAAGTCATGAGTGCTCAAAGGAGGTTTTATGAAATGTATCTGAAATTGTAAATGAATCCCACGTAGACATTTAAATTGAGAAATTGTGGCTAAAAATTTTAAATTAAAATGACAAGATAATTTGGATTGACATACATTAGAAATCATAAAAATGGAAGTTTGTTACCTTTAAAATCAATATTTTAGTCAATAAATAAAATTCTAAAACAGATGTTTTCACGTGGGCATGTTAAAAGGCGTAAACCTTTAGCTAGGGTCACATATCTGTTAAAACGGTCTTGATTTTAATGGTGTCTCTAATTTGGAAAGTAATTTCAGATTCTCAGCCAAGAAGAATCTTGCTTGAACTTTACTTTTCTAGGCTGTACATATAGCAGAGAAACGTGATCATTTAAATTCTAAAGGATGTTTGTTTCTTTTAATAGCATAGCAGAGAATTAATGGCATGGGGGAGAGAGACGTGACAACTTAACCTGATGCTTGATAGCTGTTTACTTATGAATGTGTGCCACAGATTTCAGTGTCTGTAAAAGAAGGGGAAATAAAGAAACCGATGGCTCTTAGGGAACTTAAGACACATGGAAGAAAGTGCTTAGAAGGCTATTGAAATATTTACAAAACAAATCATTTACATTAACTTTCTTATGTGTAGAACCTGGAGTGCCCGTGAAAAAACAGAACCAATTTTGGCTATGAGAAGTATTTCAGCATCAAAATGGTTAATAGTATTATAGCTTCAAAAGAGCCTATTGGCTCACCCTCAAGGATGCCCTGCAGTTGTTGTTAAAGTCATCAGATGAAGCTAGCCTTCTCAGCTAGCCTTTAGATTTGTCTGCTAACAGTAAAAATACTATAATAAATCGGTAACATATGTTGCCAGGCAAGGAAAAGTGATATAAATAAAGAGACTGGGAGACCCAAACCAAGTACAATGTGAAAAGAATTTAACTTTCAATCTATTTGCTGGCTAATTACCATTTGAAAAGTAATTTGAAAGTGTTACTGTTATTTGCTGATATTCTTCCTCATTTTTCTTCTTTTCCTCTTCAGATTGCATTCTTACCCAAATACTCTTCGTGATTGCCTGCTTTGCGGCTTTGGGGTAAGTCCCAGTTTTCCACAACCTTAAGAAAAAAAATGCATAACATAAAAGATGCCAGAAAGACTTATGTGTCCTGATATTCGGGGTCTGTGAAATATACATGGGTTTGTTACCGGGGGTGGGAGGCATAATGAAATAAAGACAAGGGGTTTGTTTCCGCAAGGATCAAAAGTGTGCGAAAGTGTGCATATGCAAACGAGGCTCCCATCAGGAAAGCCACCTCTGGAATGGAAATGACAAAGCTTGGAACACACACAATCAATTATTTTCACCAGCATTTAAAATATAGAAAACAAAATCTGCTTTGGGAATTGACTGAATATTTTATTTAGCTTTTTTATTGAGACATCCTTTGAATAATGGCATAATATAAATAGTTTTACAAAGCAACAATATAATCAATCTCTAAACTAGAATATAAATCAAGGATTTCATTAACTGCTGGTAGCCAGTTTAAATTGTAGTCTTGTCCATAATGTCTATCTATCTATGTATGTCCAAGTTATATTAAAAACCTTTAAATGGCTTTGTAATATCAGCTACATCTAGCTATTATAATAATTAATGGTACTGTTTTATAAATCAATACATGTATTCTTGATAAATTCATATCCAGTTAATGGTGTAATTTAAATAAAAAATTAATGTAATAAAGGACATACAGAAATGGGCAGGAAATCTTTAAAGGTTAAGAGTCAAATTTGTCTAAATTCATTCTTAACCTGTTTTGGAAAAGTTTATATTTAAAATCAGCTGACACTTACCTTGTTTCTGTAAAACTAATCTTGCCATTTCTGGTGGTATCTAGTATTAAATTTGTAAGATGTTTTTTGACGTTGTTTTAATTACATAGTTACAATACTGTGGAATATTTTACTGTCGTTGTACTACTTTGTGACTATTGCATATTCTTCAGTAAAACAGAACAAAACAAACTAAAAACCTCATACCAGTAATTTATTTTTAATTCACAAATGCATGTAAATGATTTATTTTTTGAAAATCTCCAAAGCTATATACACATTTTATTTAAGGGGAAGAAGGACTGACTAGTTCAAATAATTTGCATGTGGAAGAGCCGAGCATTTTCACTGCTTTCGCTGAGTGAACATTCCAAGAATTTTAGAAAGAAAAGAAAAACGCATGAAAGAGTCTGAAATGTATTTTAACGCTGCACCCGGGTACAGGAACATTCTACCAAAAGATGAGTGTATTATAGTTCTAATTTAAAGAATACATACCAGAGACATATTTAAAAAATAACAAGATTTAGAAAAACAACCGAAGGTTGTATGTTATCAAATACAATATCCAATCTTTCCAAATAAAATTTCATTTGGTTTCTAAGAGTAAGTGTTTTACAAAAAATATCTTTCAAAATTATGCAGACCAGTCTGCCCTGCCATCCTCCTTGACATGGTGCAGAAATGTTCCTTTAATCCACTGAGCTTTTTCTGACATTTTTCTTAACATTGCTGAGCCTTATTTAGAGCACCAAAGGAGGCGTGTGCAGTTTCCTTTGACACTGATGGGTATTTCAAAATGTTACAGAGAGAGGGGGGATAAAAAAGAAAGAAAAGATTTGCTGCCAGTCACTTCATCAATAGAGCTAGAGAAGCAATTACTATTTGTTAAAAGTTTACATTTCAAATGAAGCTAAATTTTAAAGAAGTCTCATCCTTTTAGAAGGACTGGTGCTTGGAAGAGAGAGGAAGAGAATGCACATTAGTGATTACATGTTAAAGTGCACTCAAGTACTGGAACCATTTAAAATGTATTGTGTTTTTAGTCGAAACTTGCAGCAAAACCACTCCTAAGAGGCTTAATTTAGGTTTTATAGGAGGAACATAAAAAAGACCAGGTTATAGCAACATGCTGAAATATGGGGTACATTTTAAATATCTTCATTTAAAAACGTATGTTTATTTCCCCTCCTGGGATCACTAACGTGCGTCTCCACAGAGAAAGCAAGGACATGCATTCTTAAAAATTATCTGTTAAAGGGATCACATTCCAAGACAGGTTTGGGCATTTTTATTACTACAGATAACCTCTTAATTATGTCACTGCCTTCCACTTGTTAATCAGGGCCATTCAACATAGTTAACCATGGAGTGGTTGCCTTTAGAAGAATACATTATTATTAAGGATTAGAAACACATTTTATTCCTATAATCATATTACATGTATGGTTTTAGCACTGCTAAAACCCTATTTACCTGCTTTAAATACATAACACCTAAGAAAGGATCTAGATGCCTATAACAATGTTGTTCATTACTTCAAACTGTGCAGTTCATGAAAAGCTTCAAGAGAGATAATTTTACTTTTCCTGTCTCCCCGCTCCACCTCCCCCATGTCCCATGCAATTCCTATTTGGATTGATTTTAGGTTTCCTGTGCAGCCACCAGTATGTGAGATACTCAGGTACTCTTTCAGAGACCAAGGTGTAAGTGAAGTAAATAAAATCATGTTTCACTGTTGCTTTATCAACCCTCCTAGGTAGTTTTTCTGCCAGCCAACCTGCACTGTTAAGACCCATAAAATTATGCAATAGTGACTTCTTTGGAGGTTCTCTAATCAGATAATGGCTGGTGTTAGGAGGCAAGGGCCCAAGGCAATGTTGCTGGTACTTAACACTGTGGTTGGTCATTACTTGTCTAGTAGAGACCAATAAACAGCTGATTACTATCCTATACGGAGCCAATATTTTACATTTATCCTAGTTATTTTTTCCTTTTCTTTTCAAGTTCTTATAAGAGGAAGTATTTGTCAAGAAGATCTATGAGTAGTAGCCTCCCAGGCACCTTAAAAATAAGAATTTTCCTACCATGAAATGATGGCTTTTGTGGAAAGGTGGGAATGATTCTGGTTTTTACAAGAGCAAAGGTTTGATTTGTTTCAAGTCCATTTCTTTCAGACAGGGACACTCCCCCACACCATCCCTGCTGCTCCCTGTCCCTTTCCCCCTCTATGACAGGTTCACGGGCTGCAACCAAGGGATTTTAAAATGCAAAGGTTTATATTAATATTTGCACTCTGGCAATAAGAGGCCCATTTTGCTTCCTCTGTAAGCCTGTGATAATTGATGCTTCATACCTGGAACTATGTTTCATTTATCTTTTTACTCATGAAGATAGTATATAAAGAAAAGGTAATTTATGGAAAGGAACCAACCATTTGAAATAATAATCCTAAATCCAACTAGATAATCTTTTAAAGCTGTAAGAGTCAGAGATGGAGATTTCTAAACTTCTAAAGAAAACTTGATTGCAAAGAAGAAACCTGTGCATTTTTGAATGCTTGTTGAATTTGAATGTCTGTGTGGGCCAAAAAAGAATCAGAGGGACAAATGGAAACCAGGAAACAAAAGGTGTAAATTTTAGATGTTTTTTAAATTAATGTATTTAACGACCTATTAGACTCATCACAATTTTATTGACTTTCCCTTTACATTTGGATATAATTTTTTACTAGCCAATGCAAACTGCAAACTGGTGAGTCTCCTAAGGTGCCTTTCCTTTCCTGGGATCCTCATCTTAGAATGAACAGAGGCACATCGATAAGAACTGGACCTTGATTTCACAACCTCATACAAAGCCAGGCAATTCTTGAGCCAAACAAACAAAGGGGGGTGTAAGCGATTTCATTTATTTTGATAATCCTCCTCTTGCACAGGAGCATTTTGCTGTCTTTGTCAAAGTGAATGACAACAATTTGGCCAACTCTCTCTGAGCTGCACTCAACAGTGACAGGCAAATTATCAGAGGCCCTGCACTTCTTATTATCAGAGGAGAAGCCATCAGGGGGACGCATGGAGGATACCTCTCCCTTGTCACTATTTGTCAGTGGGACAAGGGCCACTGCTATGGGTAGCTGACAGGTAATTTCAACAATAACAATTACTCCTATTACTGGTGTCATAAACAATTCGCCCAAGGCATGACAATAGCAAAGCTTTATAATTCAATGCCATATAAATAAATGCCAGCAGGTAACAAGTAATTTAGCTCCAATCAAGCTTTCACCCTGGCATTAATATTGTTATTGTAAGAAAATGGAAAATTGAAAAAATTCAGTATGTTAATGAATTAAGAGAGGTTCAAGGGCTAGACAAGAGGAGTTGGAAAAAGGAAACCAAAATTATTGTGGTATCATATTTGGTGCCATCCTGGGGGCCAAACATCAGTATAATTACTTTAAGACAAGAAGGGGAACTGGAGTGCCTTAGATCTCAGACCAGGGAAAAATGTGATGTGAGCTTTCAAAAAATCCACCTAACTCCAATTTCCAAAGAATATAAGTAGAAATATGAGAATGTATATATATAATGTAGCATTTCACTGGCTTTCTTTTTCTACCTGAAATATTTCATATGAAGCAGAAGCATGAGTATCAAAGGAATGTTTGCATCTGTTTAAGAAAATTGTATTGGTACCTGCTTCCTTCACATTAAGTCTCATAATGAAACTATTTTAATACTCCTTTTTTATCTGGGGTGAAGGTAAAGCTGAAAGTCATCTTTGCTCTCCAGCTGTCCACCTTTTGGAAGTGGACTAGAGGATACAGTCTTATCTTCATATGTAAAACTTCCTGATCAAACCAATTTGCAATTTTAGTATTTGTCCAGCAAGACAATGTGCCATCACGGTGACAGCAGTAAAAGAATTTGAAAATCTCTAATTAGGAGAGCTGCACACCAATTAACGCATGTCAAATTTCACTTCATCAAGTGCCACTCTAATTTTCCCTCTAAAAATTAATGGATTTTTTTTCTTTTGGTATGTGTGTGTGTGTCCCCTTAAGGCAATGTTGATTCAAATCTGCTCAAGATGCAGTGTTGCACAGCTAAGCATCTTCTTGATTACAATCCGCCACACTTCTAACTGCGCTCATTCGCACTGCCACGGATACTTTGTCAACAGTCAAATTACACCACGCTGATAACAATGCATAATGGTGTTCCTCCTCCAGTCCCCTGTCAGGAGAGGGGCTTCATAAAAATGTGATGTTTTCTTCTCAACTGTATCTAAAGGAAGTTTGTAGGACTAGGTCCCCAGTCAGGCGTTAATTTTTAAAATTAGTTTGTTAATTTCAAAAAAAAAAAAAAAACCAAAGAAACAAGAAGAAGAAGCAGCAAAATGATGGCATATGAAAAGTCCTCACTGGAAAAAAAAAAAAAAAAATCAGCAAAGAATGAGGAATGGAGAATATCTATGGCCAAAGTTTTACTTAAACACTTTGTTCGGAGACATTTTCAAGAGCACTATTCTTGGTTAAAAACCAGATTTTTTTTTTCTTTACTTCTGGACTATAAACATTGGAAGCCTCTCTTGAACAGACTGTATTTAGATTGTGCTAGAAGTTTGTTTAACTGCCATATTTGCCAGAATCCTCAAAACATCACAGGACACAGAAGACAAATGACTTTGTGTGTGTGTTGGAGGGGAGAGGGGGTGCGTAAGGGGGTCAGGATTGCATATTCCACATAAATGTTGATTCACTTTTAACTATTTTTTATCCTAGTTGCTTGTTGCGGATTGGTGTGTCTGAGGCATCAGCACACATGGGGAATATTTCTCACTGAAAAATGAAAGAAAGAAATGCAGTGATTAGAAGATGATTTTACATTCAGTCTTTTTAGGGATTATTCAGATTTCTTATTTTTCAAACACAATCAAAACCAGAACAAAAACAAGGAAATTAAACAAAATTTTAAATCTATTCTCTTATAGATTCTTCAGGGAGTAGAGAATATTCACAGGGTTAACATCCCAGCCTTCTCAGCATGTAAGCATATTGTAATCCTATTTATTCACTAAAAATGTAAATTCCTCTGATCTACACTTTATTTTCTTTAATCTGCAGGTCGAATACAGCTTCTTATTCACTGATGACTAACTCAAAAATTTAAAACGATATTTTTATGTTTGTATTTCCGAATATTAAAAGTGTCTTCCTTCTCTTATGGCCCCACCCCAGCATGTTCTTAAGTGTCTATTTCAAACAAAAGAAAATGACATCCCCCTTTCAACTAGCCAAACATTAGATTCTCTCAGAACTGACTGGGGATTCACTAGAAGTTTCGCAATTAGGTTCATTCAAATTGAATTATTTTCTTTTTTTCCAAACATCGTTCTTAGAACTTTATAAATGTAGCAATACTGGCTTCACAATTTCATGTGGCTCGTTTACAAATAAAGGTATTTTAATAAAACCAAGTTCTGTGTACCTTTGAAAAACAAAAAGCTGGAACAATCTCACATTAAAACATTACAAAAGGATTGTAAAGGGAAATTTAAAGGGAGAAAACTTGATTATATAATGCAATCCAGCAGTAATCAATTTTACCTTCAATATCTTGCTTTTGTTTTCAAAATGCTAAATAAACAATACATAATGCATCCCTCATCAGCCAAACCATGGAGGCTCTGTGCTCAAATAACAGGAAACATATTCAATTTTCCTAACAGAAGACAGTTCATTAAGCTGTGCCACATCAAATAAAACTTTAATTTCTCCAGCATCAGAGTCGCAATGAAAGCAATTGAAGAAGATGAGCCATATGGTACTTCTATCAGCAAACACATATTGCTCATTCCCCCAAAGTTTTCTAATTCTGCTCCCCAGACCTGTGTAATATAGATAATGTGCTCCGAGAGCAGCAACCATGAGCTATCTAGTGTACACTTCTAATACTGTATTTAATGGGAAATAATGAATCATAAAAGCCTAGAGAAGACGGCTTTTGCTAACCTAAATCTCAGCTGTAATTTCATTGTTCTGTGCCTAAGATGCTGTTTGCCCTTTCCAAACAACAGCAGTTGAACATAATTATGCTGCTTCGAACCTGGGCTTGAAAAAGCATCCCTAATATAACCAACTTTCTATTAACTCCTGAATTTCTGAATTTAATGATGCACTGATACAGGCCTTGACATAATCAAGCATGTGTCATTTAAAAATCCAAATAAGCATTTTTCCCCTTCTTCTCTTTGGTCAGACTGCTCAATGCTTTTATGCTTCCTCCTCCGCCCCCTGCTTGCGTCCATCCCCCACCCCCCACCCCACCCCATGCAACAGGAGTGGCATGATTAAAAATGAGGAGATTTTCTTGTTATTAGCAAATTTGACATTTGCCTGATGAAATGCACATAAAATGTGAAAGCTACACAGTACTCAGAAGAATGTCTCCACTCCAATCCTAGCTACCAAGATGAAATAATTTAGGTAAAGGAAATGTAAAGGTCCTTGTACATCTCTTGCTGCGGAATGCTAGGGCTGTGTTATAAATGAAAGAACCAAATATTGCTGAGCTTTTAGAGTGATAGTATTTTGGCACATGTGAAGCGCATAGTGTTCCTTCTCTCACCTTAGCTGCTTTGACAATTCACTTAAACACAATACATATGCCCAAACACAGCAATGTGTGTGTCGTGAGCCCAGCCTTTCTCTGGTTTAAGATCTTGGGGCTGGGGCTTTGTTCATTTTTAGGAAAAAATGTTGCTTTTTCCTCTAACTAGGTCAATAATTCCAGCTTTTCCATTTTTAAAGCTTATCAAATCAATATTTTACCAACATGATGCTAATTTAGAACATCATCAAATAACACCGTGGATACATATTGAAAACATATTTTAATGGTTTTGTTTGTTTTGGCATCATATGAACCAAGAACAATTAAATTAAAAAGAGACTTTTAAAAGTTAGAGATTGCCTTTTTAAAGCTTATTAAAATCAGCATGTTAACATGCCTGTCTCTGAATTAGCTCTCACACTTGATTGCCATCATTAAAACTAGTTGTTTGGGTGCTGCTCAAAGCCGATTCTTACTAGTTATTAACTTGAAATCTCTTTCCATTGAAATGTGTAAAAAAAAAAAAAAAAAATTCATTCTCACTAGTGGAAGAAACAGTCACCAAAACATGAACTAGCACAGCAAGCCAGCAACATTAAACCACGAAAAGACCAACAGGTAAAATAACTACAGTAACATCTAAAACACACTCAGGAAAAAAAAAAAATCACAACAACAACAAAGAAGCAGTCCATTGATTATATTTCATGAATGCCTTAAAACAAATGTTTAAACAGTTTTCTGAAACAGTGCAGAGAACCTCTGCATGCTCCACTGGGTTGCAATGACAATGGTCTATTGCAATGTAAAACACGCTGGAGGATAAAAAGGTGCTTTTTGTTACCATTTTATCAAAGCTGTTCATCTTCGAGCTGCAGGCAGCATTTTGCTGGAATTGCAGATATTTCTCTGTCCAGGCTCCTTTGTTTGTGCATCTCATTTGCATATATTTATCTCCAGCTGAGGGTGCGTTCTGCTCATTAAGGCCTCCCTTCACATTATTTCATAAGCCAGCTGCTGAGAGGGATTTCACCTGTGGTGACTGAGAAAAGAGGGGTGAAAAACTAAATTCTTCATAAAAAGGAAATCTTCTGAGTCTCTTCCCCTATAAATGGGCACCATTTGTGTTAAACAGCCTCTTGTCATGATAGATGCCTCCAGAGGTCAGGGGTTAAAGTTGATTTGAAGGTCAGCAGTAAAACAACAGACAAACCAGACGCCAAACTGGTTCCTTAGCTGTCGGTGGGAGCTGTGGTACAACCAGGTCTTGAACCTTTTTCAACCTCTAATAAAACAGGGGATGAATCTGAAGTGGATCAACCAGGCCCCTGAGGAAGCAGCACAGAAAAACACAAATAATATCAATATCAGGCAGCCACAGGGAAACAATGGGGCATTTCTCCGTGCTACATGCATGCTGCTATTGTTTCAAGGGCTGGGGAATTAATTCCACTTATTTATTTAAGGCGTGTCAACTCACTGCCTAAACCTGTTTCAGTGTCAAGATGAATAAAACTTTTATGGCTCATAAAATAGAGCCATTCATCTCAATGTTCTTTGTGGTGCATTTTTTTTCTTTTCTTTTCTTTTCTTTTTTTTTTTTCCTGACATACTGAGCTAGGCCTCTGCTCTGAAATGGTTACATCTGAACTCATTGGTGCTACGATCCACACCATATTAGAGAAAAAAATTATTTTACTGGCAAATGGATCTCAACAGAAATGACACGGGGAAGCATTTTAGCTACGATGTAATAGCTCCAAATATTCTTCTAAATAGTCCGCATGCAGTTGCATCTGTTTTGAGTATGCATTATTTACAAAGCAGAAGTTTTACTATTTTAGAGGAAAAGTTCAAAAGAGATAGCAGTAAAGATATTAGTTTTCTAGAATACTATGTCACATATTTCATTTTACTTTAGAAATGCAACCTTGTTAGGATAGCTCTTTCCCATTCATCATTTTTTGCCCAAGTTTCCACTGTTCTGTAGTCAGCTTATACTGATGTAATAATCAAATGCCTCCTTTAATTCAACTGCTTAGAATTTTATGCTTAATTTTCAGCATAAAATAGCACACATAAATGGAAAAGAAAATGCATTTATGTGCTTTTTGGATTATAAATTTTTTAAAAAGTTCAGTTATAGAATTAATTTTACTTTTGATTTCCTGACAAATGACTTTCATAATAATATAATATAAACAGGTTAACATTTCTAAAGTGCCGCACACAATGCGAAGCACATGTATTTTCTCATGCAGTTATTAATAATAATTCAATCTAAGTCACACAGGTCCCCTTAGAATGGACTGTAACAACATTATTATCCACAACATATTTTAGTTGAGACAAAATGTACCAGTCACACAATATCATCACTATAGCAGATCATTATAGCTTTAACAGATGACATCTTGGGAACATAGTTGCTTTATATCAAAATGAGTAAAAAGAAGCAATTCGATGATATTTCACAAATTTTCTAATCACAGCCTCAGTCATGCATATTAACATTTTTGCTCCATTGTAATGTAAATGGATTTGTGGAGGATTCACTTACTGTCTTGTCCTGGTTGCTTTGTTTTTGAGTTCTCTATTGAATATTGTAGCCTTTACCTATGACGCTGGATTATTTCTGATGTAGTCAGTTGGTAGGTAAGGGTTTTCTCCCACGAACTCAAGTTTTTTCAGCAAGTAGATCATTTGAGAATGGCTCCAAATAAAAGTTGTGTTTTCACATTTTGCTAGTACACAAACATACGGCCCTGAGGAAGAGGGATTCATTTTGGGGTGCTAAGCACTGCTCAAGATATAAGTGCTTTTTATTTTGCATTTGAACTGGTGCATGCCCCTTAGAGATGGACCAGTTGCTTTACATACTGGTGGCCCATTTACAAAGCAGCCCTGTTTGAAAACAGATGCTTTCAAGTGGGTCACCAGGCTTTAAGAAAAATATTTAAACTCATAATTGATTGGCTTTTGGTCATCTATGGCAATGTGTTCTCATTTAAACATAGAGCAGGGGATTTTTCTTCTATAACCAATTACAGTTTAAAAAATGCAACGAATCTTGCTTCACACAAGGAGCTTAACTTGTGGTTGGAGAAATTTTCCAACTTATTAAATGTTGTTTATATCCTCATTTTTGTAGACGCTTTGTCTTCCCAAAGCATTTGATAACTCCCTCTGTAACTGACTTATCAATTTTCTTTCTGACCTTTCATTTTAAATTTAACCACACCCAAATCCCCAAACTCAGAACCTCCAAGCAACTAGACTAGAGCGAAAATATACAATTTACTCTCTCCATATCTCCACCAATGTCTTTCGTTTTTCTTGTACTCTAATCTAATCGGTAATTCATAAGCTTTGGCCAAATAGTTAAAAATGTTAAGTGCTAGCAAAGCCTTTTACCTCCCCCTCAGATCTGTCTCTGTTTATGGAATAGGTCCCAGTTTCCTCCTCTTCTCCTTCAGCCCGGGGTCTTCAGGTCAGAGCACTGTAAATACACACAGCCCTTGCTGGACCCATAAATCTGAGCAAAGGGCAGGCCTATATATTCAGATAAGCAGGGGCAGAGATAGGGGCTTGAAAGGAGGGAGAACTAGTGGAGTCTGAGGCTCTGCAGCCCTGTTCAGAGAACTCAACTCAAAAGACCAAGAATCCTTAGTGCGGAAGGAGGAATTTTGCCTTGAAACATCTCCTCTTATTTCTAATGGATGAGGTTGGCACTGCTTCCTCTTGGTTTATTTTATTTTTTCCACATTGCTTATATTCACATCCTTACTGAACGTATTATCTTAAAGGCAATCAAATTAAACAGTAAATTTAATTTATTTCCAATGTCTTTTTTTCTTAAGTGTGTTTGTGTTTTGACCTCTGTGTGTGTGTGCATGTGTGTGTGTGTGATGTTTCTTGAAGTCATTTTACCAGAAATTCTTCTCTACTGTAATTTTTCAATCCCAAAGTTTTCGACTATATAACTGTATTCTTAGTTACCACGTTGAATCCCCAAGAAAAATACATCTAAAGGAGGAATGACAAAGTGACAAATAAATGCTTACATACCCTTCAGTCTTCAAGGCTTCCATTTTATTCCTGGGTTCAAGTATTTTCTGTTGGATTTTCACTTCTTGAAATTTTCAGTGACTCCTGGAAGACCATCCTTCTTGGGGGATGCACCCATTGTGACCACAAATAAGGTCACCGTGGAAAATCCTGGGCAAGATGACCATGGCCGAGAAGGTCCTTTCTATCACACTTGACAGAATCACTGCATGATTCTTCTTTAGATACAATGAGTCGCACTACAGATTCATCTGGGTCATTTCAGACTCCAGGAAAATGTGTCACTCGATTTGTTTCCGAGCAATGTTTTGTATTTTATTGTATATATGTATATATAATTTTAATCTGATTTCTCTAGGTTATTCTTTTTGGCTAATAGAGAATCGATTTTTTAAACATGCTAATTCATGTTCCTCAAAAGTGGCTTCTTTTCTTCTTTTCCTTGGTTGAAAAGTTAGTGATAATTCCAGGTAATTAAGAAAATTTTATGGAAAAAGATTGCCAAGACAGTAATTGGGCTGGGAGCCCAGCATGTTACACCTACAGTAGAGCCTCATTTTTGACAAATCTCTTAAATGATAACAAAAATAATGATAATAATCATTATGTATCATTTATTGAGCACTTACTTTGGAAAGCAATGTACTAGGAACTTAAGATGTATATTGATTTTTATCTTTACAAGTGGTAAATGATGTACGACTCTACAGTCTCAATCTTATAAATGAAAAAAACCCTCAGATTTGAAAAGTAAAGAAACTGAATCCAGAACACACATGGAAGCCCAGAACTTGAAAGTGGTTCTGGCTCTAGAGGGCTGTCTTCTGAGCTGCCTCTCATAGCCTCAGGTTCTGCATCTTCAGGATGAGTGTCTTGGGTGGAAGGGGGTCTATGTAAGGGTGATCTTCCATGGCCAGTTGATTTTCTCCAGCCCCTACTATCCTGAGCCTAGCCTTGGCATTTTCAATAGCTCTCTGGCATCTGGGCCTGTCTCTCAAAGACCTCCTGGACCACATGTCTGAATCGGAACTCATTGATTCTCTACCTGCCGTGTCTGTACTCTGTGATCCATGTGATGTTTAATGGGAGGGAGCACCCTCGATTCTGTAGTCTGAGCTTAAGGCTGTCTAACTACCTACCTTGTTTCACCTGTCATGATTATCATCCAACCTGGCAGAGAAGTGACCTGTGCAGGGGGTATTACAGTCTGACCACCTGGGTTTGAACCCGGACTCCCCTGTTTACCAGCTGTGCAGTGCTGGACAAGTTACTTTACTCTTCTGTGCCTTGATTTTTTTCATCTGTAAAATGGAGTCTAAAATATTATTTATTATTTAAGGTGGTCTAGTTCAGACTGTTGGTAATGTTTGACAGAACTATTAAAATAGCCTTCAGGCTGCTGTTTCTGCAGTGAGGCTCTTCCTTTGATAATCCAGCCCCTCTGGATTGCAGAATAAAATAAATAATAAACATGATAATTTCCTGCTTAAAAATCTTTGAGACTCCCTACTGCCCTCAGGTCAAACTATTGAATCAGGAAAAGGCTTTCATTATTTTCCTCCAACTGCCCTTTCCAGAGTCATTTTCCACCATGACCCTCTAAGCAATTTCCACTCTAGCAGCAAAAAATTATACATATGATGTTCTTTTATGTCTCCAGACTTTTGACTGTGCTGTGCTCTCTCTATCAGGAATGCCCTTCCTTCCAGTTTCCATGTAGCAAAAGTACATTTATCTTGCATGGCTCAGTTCAAAAGTCACTTTTTATTTTTTAAGGCAGCATAAATTGAGTCAGTCACTTCTAGAATGCATTCCTCTGTTTTAGAAGCTAGTATGTTGATAGCAGTCATATGCATGGTAATTATTTGTCTACCACTAGGCTGTGGACTGCTGTGGGGAGGGACTGTTTTTTTAAAACTTAGTATCTTTTGTTCTAGGGCCCCACATGTAGTGGGAGCCTCCCAAATTTAGATTAATATATAAAATATCTTTCCTCACTCCTAAAAATGACTTAGAGCAAATGTGAATCAAATGACTGTAATGTTGTTAACTAGTTGAATTAACTCCTGTTAGCTTAAGATAATAAAGGCAGTGAACTTGTAACAAAATTAAATTAAAAACTGAAGTGCAATTATAGTGTTCTTACTGTCTCCAAGATAAAACCATGATATATTTTTTTCCTAGTACACATGTTACATTTTTTTCTGACATCATAAGAAAATCTGAGAACGGAAATCCTTTCAAGCATTTCATTTGATATAGAACATCTATATTCCTTACAGCATTTCATTAGGAAAGGAGCCTGCTTTTCTCTTATCTGCCCTTACTCTAAACATAATATCTTATGGAGACAGTATATTCGTGGTTAAGATCAGAAGCTCTGAATCTGGAATGTCTGGGTTTAAATGCTGGTGTTGCCATTTATAAGCTGTGTAATGGCTGGAAACAGTTTTCTTGGGGCCTGCTATCTCATCTATAAAATG